ATATGGATTCACAATTAAACGAAATATGTGACAGAGGGTGTGGGGTGTAGGGTTGGGGAATGAAAGGAGGGTGGTTGCAATGGGCCTGTGTGTGATGGAGGGTGTAGGGTGTAGGGGTGGGGAATGAAAGGAGGGTGGTTGCAATGGGCCTGTGTGATGGAGGGTGTAGGGTTGGGGAATGAAATGAGGGTGGTTGCAATGGGCCTGTGTGTGATGGAGGGTGTGGGGTGTAGGGTTGGGGAATGAAAGGAGGGTGGTTGCAATGGGCCAGTGTATGATGGAGGGTGTGGGATGTAGGGGTGGGGAATGAAAGGAGGGTGGTTGCAATGGGCCTGTGTGTGATGGAGGGTGTGGGGTGTAGGGTTGGGGAATGAAAGGAAGGTGGTTGCAATGGGCCTGTGTGTGGTGGTGGTAGGGTGTAGGTTGGGGAATGAAAGGAGGGTGGTTGCAATGGGCCTGTGTGTGGTGGAGGGTGTGGGGTGTAGGGTTGGGGAATGAAAGGAGGGTGGTTGCAATGGGCCTGTGTGTGATGGAGGGTGTGGGGTGTAGGGTTGGGGAATGAAAGGAGGGTGGTGGCAATGGGCCTGTGTGTGGTGGAGGGTGTGGGGTGTAGGGTTGGGGAATGAAAGGAGGGTGGTTGCAATGGGCCTGTGTGTGATGGAGGGTGTGGGGTGTAGGGTTGGGGAATGAAAGGAGGGTGGTTGCAATGGGCCAGTGTATGATGGAGGGTGTGGGATGTAGGGGTGGGGAATGAAAGGAGGGTGGTTGCAATGGGCCTGTGTGTGACGGAGGGTGTGGGGTGTAGGGTTGGGGAATGAAAGGAGGGTGGTTGCAATGGGCCTGTGTGTGGTGGAGGGTGTAGGGTTGGGGAATGAAAGGAGGGTGGTTGCAATGGGCCTGTGTGTGGTGGAGGGTGTGGGGTGTAGGGTTGGGGAATGAAAGGAGGGTGGTTGCAATGGGCCTGTGTGTGATGGAGGGTGTGGGGTGTAGGGTTGGGGAATGAAAGGATGGGGGTTGCAATGGGCCTGTGTGTGATGGAGGGTGTGGGGTGTAGGGTTAAGGAATGAAAGGATGGGGTTGGGTCAGTGTATGATGGAGGGTGTGGAATGTAGGGGTGTGGAATGAAAGGATGGGGTTGGGGCAGTGTATGATGGAGGGTGTGGAATGTAGGGGTGTGGAATGAAAGGATGGGGTTGGGCCAGTGTGTGGTTGAGGGTGTGGGGTGTAGGGGTGGGGAATGAAAGGGACGGGGTTGGGGCCTGTGTGTGATGGAGGAGTGTGGGGTGTAGGGGTGGGGAATGAAAAGGATGGGGTTTGGCCAGTGTGTGATGGAGGGTGTGGGGTGTATGGGTGGGGAATGAAAGGTTGGGTCTGTGTGCACATGGGAAGAATGGGGGGGGGAATGAATGAAAGGATGGGGTTGGGCCTGTATGCGATGGGAAGTATGGGGTGTAGGGGTGGGGAATGAAAGGATAGGGGGTTGCAATGGGCCAGTGTATGATGGAGGGTGTGGGATGTAGGGGTGGGGAATGAAAGGATGGGGGTTGCAATGGGCCTGTGTGTGATGGAGGGTGTGGGGTGTAGGGGTGGGGAATGAAAGGATGGGGGTTGCAATGGGCCTGTGTGTGATGGAGGGTGTGGGGTGTAGGGTTAAGGAATAAAGGATGGGATTGGGTCAGTGTATGATGGAGGGTGTGGAATGTAGAGGTGTGGAATGAAAGGATGGGGTTGGGCCAGTGTGTGATGGAGGGTGTTGGGTGTAGGGGTGGGGAATGAAAGGATAGGGTTTGGCCTGTGTGTGATGGAGGGTGTGGGGTGTATGGGTGGGGAATGAAAGGATGGGGTTGGGCCAGTGTGCGATAGAGGGTGTGGGATGTAGGGTTGGGGAATGAAAGGATGGGGGTGGGCCTGTGTGTGATGGAGGGTGTAGGGTGTGGGGTGGGGAATGAAAGGACAGAGCTATTGTTGTCCTGGGGAAGGATGGTCAGAACTGATAGGGCTGTTGTGATTGGTGTTGGGACTCTATATTTTCCTATACTTCCTCTTTTGTGTAACATTTCTTCACTCCCCATTGTAAACCACAATACATGTAACATTCTGGGGTGACATACCCTCCCCATTGTAAACCACAATACATGTAACATTCTGGGGTGACATACCCTCCCCATTGTAAACCACAATACATGTAACATTCTGGGGTGACATACCCTCCCCATTGTAAACCACAATACATGTAACATTCTGGGGTGACATGACCTCCCCATGGTAAACCACAATACATGTAACATTCTGGGGTGACATACCCTCCCCATTGTAAACCACAATACATGTAACATTCTGGGGTGACATGCCCTCCCCATTGTAAACCACAATACATGTAACATTCTGGGGTGACATACCCTACTTGTACTATATTACCATTCCTCATTAATGTTCACATTTATGTATAAATGAGTTGTCATTTTTTATGATGGCCCTCCTATCCATAGCCGTGACAAGTGATGGCAAACACTTTCTATTGACACATTTTCACAACCATCAACCCACACATCCAATAATTACTTACTTAAATGAAAATAATTGATTACAAGTCAAGGAAATTAAAATACGTCTGATAGTACTTACAGGGCGCTGTCTGCCACTTCTGTACTCATGTTTCATTTACCAAGAAATGTGATACATAATTTACAAGAAATTTGAGCAGGCAGTCCTTAAAAATGATTAATTGATTTGGTATTGTCTGAAACAGAAAACGAAAGTCAAATATTGTTTTATTCATCCTGCTTATGTGTGTTATTCTTGAGTGTGTAAATATTAATGTAAACATTACTGGTGAAAAATATCATTAGCCTTTCAATATTTCCTTGTATCAACTTCTCTCCTGTTTTGTTTTATCATAGTGGGTGGTTTTAGGAGGCGCCATCTGCATTATTTTTTTGTTTATTTTTTAGATACATATTTTTTAAAAGTTGACCTTATTTCTGGAACTAATTGTTAGTGATTAAGCACACATAAAATCCCTTATTGTTACAATACACCCAAAGGTGGTATCTGCCATACACAGCATTACAGTCCGTTTGATTTCATTTGAGACTGATAAATTGCAAATTCTAATAATTGCAACAAAACCAAATTTTGCAGTCACATAAAATTGGCAGACCAACTCTGATGATTTGTCTCATAAGTTTGGTGGTAGAAAAGTCAGGTAATCAACAAGCGTGTATGTGCAACACGCACACCTGGCTGTTCTACCAGTAAGTGGTCCTCCCTCGTAAAAAAATAGAGAAAAGTGACAATAAAATAATGATCGTTTGTGAAACAACTTTTTTATTCTAGTGTCCCAAATTATGAGACAAATCAACAGAGTTGGTCTGTCATTTCATGTGACTGTGCAAAATTTGGTTTTGTTGCATATATTAGATTTTGTGTTAGTGAGCAATTCATCGGTCTCAAATGAAATCAAACGGACTATACCAACCACTTGAAAATTGTCTGTCCTTGAACCAGTTTGATATTTGATTGCACCGTATTCAGGGAGAGGAACTGAACTGTACACTTCCTGATACCTGAGTGGTCCTAATTTTAATACATATTGATTCATGGTACATTTGTGTCCTCATTTGTATTAAATTGTTTACATTCAAATAAGCCATAGTAACAGATGTTTAAAAAAATTCAGTTTCTGTTTCTTTTATTACCTTATTGATCAAAATAATATTTAAAGATTGTTTGGTGATTGCTTGGGATTGTTGTACTGACGTTTTGGTAGTGTATAAAATAGTTTTGAAATGTGGCCTGTCCAAGTACTGGTTGTCCCAAAACATGACCAGTCCTGAACAAACACATCCAGTCCCAAAAACAATAAAGAACCAACAATATGTTGTTTTGATCACTGTATTTATTATCCTCTCTCCAAATTTCAAATTTCATATACATGTATATAAGTTAATACAGAGGTGACGTGAAATGAGTTAGTCTAATGTGATGGATGTGTGTCGTATAATGTGATCTAACAAGTATTTCAATGTTTACTTTATACTACTCACAGTCTCATAAGGATCAAGTCATTTATCATAATTATGACTCGTGAAGATCCGGGTTAGAATTGATATTCAGTAACCTATGCTTGTCGTAAAAGGCGACTAACGGGAACGGGTGGTCAGGCTCGCTTACTTGGTTGACACATGTCATCGTATCCTAATTGTGTAGATTGATGCTCATGCTGTTGATCATTTGATTGTCTGGTTCTGACTCAATGTTTTACAGACCGCCATCATATAGCTGTAATATTGCTGAGTGTGGCGTAAAACTACACTCACTCACTCACTCATTTATCATATCAAATATTTCCCCCGACCAAAGGATGGCCTTACTTATATAATCGACCAACCTTCACGAAAAAAGACAGTCAAGGATGGTGGGACAGGCTATTTTTTATACACTGCTTATTTGTGATTTCCATGTTTTTCTCAGTTTTACTCAATTTTACTCAGTTTTACACAAACTTGTTTCAGTTTGCAATTTTGCAGATCAGTCAATCATTTTTGGTATTTATTAGATGCAAGAATTGGTGAGATGTTATGAAACTGAACTTTAAACCACATTTCTATGTTCCTAGAGTTTTAGTGTGGTCATTATACTTGTGAACCCCAAAGCGGAAGAGGTATCAAGTACTTCTTGTGATGTACCATGGACATGTATGTGTATTGTAAAATAAGCTAGTTCTACCGCAGTGAACGGATTTAACCAGACCTATGTAAACTCATGTCCAGGGAACATTTTGGTGGTGTCCAAGTTTTGAGCACATAAATCCCAGGCTGCCAGTGTGAGACATTTCACTGGATTTCCAAGAATGTTACAGATGTGACATCATTGCAGATGCTGAGAAGATTTCAGTCTGACGTAGATGGGGATTTCATTTGTGCATTCAAGACTATCCTGAATATTCAAAAGTATAAAATGTGGCTCTATTAGTTCTAAGGTGTTCAATTTGTTCACAGGAGCACCTTGAATCAAATGGTCACATCTACCGCGGCAGTTACGAAGGCTGGTATTCTGTGTCTGATGAAGCGTTTCTCACATCAGAGGAAGTGAAAGATGTAGCAACACATGATGGAAGCTCTGCCAAGGTAAATAACTCTTACAGTGTTGATATTATGTATTTTGACATGTAATTCAACAGGGTATTTTTATGATACGTCACCGTGTCGTCTGTGTGTATACTAGGGGTGGGTATTGTAGAGAATTTTCATACTGAGACGCGAAAGCATATATTGCGATATGTATTGCAATATATTGGAAGGTTTTTTTTCAACAAAAAAATACTTATAATCGAGTTAATGCTTGATTTATTAAGCAAAAACACTACAAAGTCACTTTGCTTGATTAAGCTTTATCAAAAACTTTTAATCATGACAAAATAAAAATGTAAATAGTATTTGGCACAAATGAAACGGGGAAAAGAACATTTAACTTCAACACAGTGGTTACTAGTTTGAACTCGTGTCTCCACTCTTAAAAAAAGCCCTGATATTTTAGACAGCAACTTGACCTGGTCAGGACATATCAGAGATCATTGGTCATTAATGAGTAAATATTTAAAACGTTCAGATGCAAAACATTGTGAAACACTTGAACAAAAATTAAGAACACAACTTCAAACCGAACTTAACAATCCAGTCAAACATAGTTTTCACCACAATCATTCCCACCAGCATTACCACAATTGCAACAATCAAGATATATGAGTGTTACGAGGTTTTCCAAATGTATATCAAAATACCGGTTTCCGATCAGCGTATCGCAATATGTATAATTTTCATGTCTGAACCGGTAAATACTGGTAAACCGGTTATCTTGCGCAGCCCTAGTATATGCACATGAGCGATGTTCAACATTATACATATTACAGCAAGTGTGCATGAATGTCTGGTGTTTGTAGTCTGCCCTATCCTGTTTACATGCTAATAGCATAAGGTAAGGGCCCTCCACGGTGGAACCCACTTACTCACTGGTGCAACATTAGTGAGTTAAATTTAAATTCACATCGGCAGTGTTTCAGCCATATCGTGACTATCACAAGCTATATGTTAATAGCAAATCTTAAACTAAAAGCCTGTCAACAAGGGTCAGTAAAACAGGTAGAGGATCACAGATATAGGTTTAAAACTGGTGTGTAACGAACCCGTGAAGATCCAGGTTAGAATTGGTCTTCAGCAACCCCCTGCTTGTTGTAAGAGATTACTTACGGGATCGGATGGTCAGGCTCACTAAGTTGGTTGACACATGTAATTGTATCCCAACTGGGTAGATCGATGCTCATGATGTTGTTCACTGGATTGTCTGTTGACTTGATTATTTACAGACCGGCACCATATATCTGGAATATTGCTGAGTGCAGAATTAAAGAGCAAATAAACAAACAAAGCAGTCGTCTCAGCGTTACACGTGTTAAGTGCCGCGTTAAACAACAACCAAGTACACTGTAATCCCAAATATACTGGGGTAAAACAATATGGGATCACATGAAAGCACAGGTGTTCCTTTAGTTTTTTCCAGGTTTCTTCACAAGTGTGCCATACAAAGCTTGTGAAAAAACCTGTGTAAAAATTAGGAACACTTGTGCTTTCATGTGATCCCTTATTTTTTTTCCCTCAAAATTATAAGTCCGCTTCTCATGAAGGTAATATGGTCTGATGTACGCCTCTTTGTAGCAGTGTCATCCCTCGCCTACCAGCTCGGATGACACTTGCTACTAAGTGGCGTACACCAGACAGTATTATCCAAGGGAGAAGCATACAACATATTTATCTTACCGCCATGTAAAACGTACAAAATATCATTTTATTTTATGTTAAAGATCGCTACCGGCTATATGACATGCAAACAAACTGGCGTCTGCCTCTTGACTGGTTTTTTACCATCAGTGAAACATATTCTGACAAGCATAAAACTGCCATAAAAATTGTTAATTATGTTTAAGCTGAGTGTGCAAACCACTCAATGTATAAAATAGCTTAAATAAAGAAGTGAACATAAATCTGTACAAAGTGAACACAAAAACAGCTGATTGAACGGTTTTTCGAACTCGGCATAGCATGCGTCATATTTTGACGTCATAGGATTGTTAGCACTTCAGCTTCTCGGCAGAGAGCTTTGCGGTTACCGTGGCAGCAGGTAATATTTTTTCCAGTTGTCACCCTCCTGGGAGAAACTTGTTAAACCGTCATTGACCAATGAAACTAAAGTATTTTACATGAAGGTAAGATAAATTACATACACTGTATTTTACTAAGAAAGGGGAATCCTCAATATAACATATGTTACATTTGACCACTTTCTTAATGGCATTGTGTAATCATGGGCTATAGATCATAAAGTTCACATCTCTAACGGCGATGTTGATGCTGATGCTGCAGGTGAGTGTGGAGAGTGAGCAGCCAGTCACGTGGATGAAGGAGAACAACTACATGTTCCGCCTCTCGGCCTTCACCCACAGACTGGAGCGGTGGCTCGATACTGGAGGTAACGTGGGGTACTAAAGGATTTGGGACTATGGTTTTATGCTGCTTTTATCAATATTCCTGCAAGATCATCGCAGAGGACATCAGAATTGGGCTTCACATATTGTACCCATGTTGGAAATTGAACTCAGGTTTTTGGTGTGACAAGCGAATGATTTAACCCCCAGACTACCCCCATCACACTACAAAAGTAATGGAGGAGGAGGTTACTGGGGTAACGTGGGGGTAGTGGAGGTTCTGGAGGTCATGGCAATTTATTAGAGGTGACATGGGTATTTAGGTAATGTTCGGAGAGTTTCATTGTTTGTTTGTTTAACACAACACTTTGCAAATTTCTAGCTATTTGACCGTGGTCTGTAACTCATTTAGTCTAGACCAGACAAGCTAGTAATGAGCCATTAACCTGTATGATTCCAGCTGTGAAGCCATCAAAGTTTGAGACAGTGATCAGACAGTACCTGCAGGACTTACCAGACCTGTCTGTATCCAGGCAACGGGAGAGGCTGCCGTGGGGGGTGCCAGTTCCTGGGGATGAGTCGCAAACAGTAAGCTTGAACTTTGTTCCCTGTCATTCATTACACTACACATACATGTAAGCTTGAACTTGTTCCCTATCTTTCATTACACTACACATACATGTAAGCTTGAACTTTGTTCCCTATCATTCATTACATTACACTACACATACATGTAAGCTTGAACTTTGTTCCCTATCATTCATTACACAACACATACATGTAAGCTTGAACTTTGTTCCCTATCATTCATTACACTACACATACATGTAAGCTTGAACTTTGTTCCCTATCTTTCATTACATTACACTACACATACATGTAAACTTGAACTTTGTTCCCTATCATTCATTACACTACACATACATGTGAGCTTGAACTTTGTTCCCTATCATTCATTACATTACACTACACATACATGTAAGCTTGAACTTTGTTCCTTATCATTCATTACATTACATTACACATACATGTAAGCTTGAATTTTGTTCCCTATCTTTAATTACATTACACTACACATACATGTAAGCTTGAACTTTGTTCCCTATCATTCATTACATTACATTACACATACATGTAAGCTTGAACTTTGTTCCCTATCTTTCATTACATTACACTACACATACATGTAAGCTTGAACTTTGTTCCCTATCATTCATTACACTACACATACATGTAAGCTTGAACTTTGTTCCCTATCTTTCATTACACTACACATACATGTAAGCTTGAACTTTGTTCCCTATCTTTCATTACACTACACATACATGTAAGCTTGAACTTTGTTCCCTATCTTTCATTACATTACACTACACATACATGTAAACTTGAACTTTGTTCCCTATCATTCATTACACTACACATACATGTAAGCTTGAACTTTGTTCCCTATCATTCATTACATTACACTACACATACATGTAAGCTTGAACTTTGTTCCTTATCATTCATTACATTACATTACACATACATGTAAGCTTGAACTTTGTTCCCAATCGTTCATTACATTACATTACACATACATGTAAGCTTGAACTTTGTTCCCTATCATTCATTACATTACACTGCACATACATGTAAGCTTGAATTTTGTTCCCTATCTTTCATTACATTACACTACACATACATGGAAGCTTGAACTTTGTTCCCTATCATTCATTACGCTACACATACATGTAAGCTTGAACTTTTTTCCGTATCTTTCATTACATTACACTACACATACATGTAAGCTTGAACTTTGTTCCCTATCTTTAATTACATTACACTACACATACATGTAAGCTTGAACTTTGTTCCCTATCATTCATTACATTACACTACACATACATGTAAGCTTGAACTTTGTTCCCTATCATTCATTACATTACATTACACATACATGTAAGCTTGAACTTTGTTCCCTATCATTCATTACGCTACACATACATGTAAGCTTGAACTTTGTTCCCTATCTTTAATTACATTACACTACACATACATGTAAGCTTGAACTTTGTTCCCTATCATTCATTACATTACACTACACATACATGTAAGCTTGAACTTTGTTCCCTATCTTTAATTACATTACACTACACATACATGTAAGCTTGAACTTTGTTCCCTATCATTCATTACACTACACATACATGTGTAAGCTTGAACTTTGTTCCCTATCTTTCATCACTACACATACATGTAAGCTTGAACTTTGTTCCCTATCTTTCATTACACTACACATACATGTAAGCTTGAACTTTGTTCCCTATCTTTCATTACATTACACTACACATACATGTAAACTTGAACTTTGTTCCCTATCATTCATTACACTACACATACATGTAAGCTTGAACTTTGTTCCTTATCATTCATTACATTACATTACACATACATGTAAGCTTGAACTTTGTTCCCAATCGTTCATTACATTACATTACACATACATGTAAGCTTGAACTTTGTTCCCTATCATTCATTACATTACACTACACATACATGTAAGCTTGAATTTTGTTCCCTATCATTCATTACACTACACATACATGTGAGCTTGAACTTTGTTCCCTATCATTCATTACATTACACTACACATACATGTAAGCTTGAACTTTGTTCCTTATCATTCATTACATTACATTACACATACATGTAAGCTTGAACTTTGTTCCCTATCTTTAATTACATTACACTACACATACATGTAAGCTTGAACTTTGTTCCCTATCATTCATTACATTACATTACACATACATGTAAGCTTGAACTTTGTTCCCTATCTTTCATTACATTACACTACACATACATGTAAGCTTGAACTTTGTTCCCTATCATTCATTACACTACACATACGTGTAAGCTTGAACTTTGTTCCCTATCTTTCATTACACTACACATACATGTAAGCTTGAACTTTGTTCCCTATCTTTCATTACACTACACATACATGTAAGCTTGAACTTTGTTCCCTATCTTTCATTACATTACACTACACATACATGTAAACTTGAACTTTGTTCCCTATCATTCATTACACTACACATACATGTAAGCTTGAACTTTGTTCCCTATCATTCATTACATTACACTACACATACATGTAAGCTTGAACTTTGTTCCTTATCATTCATTACATTACATTACACATACATGTAAGCTTGAACTTTGTTCCCAATCGTTCATTACATTACATTACACATACATGTAAGCTTGAACTTTGTTCCCTATCATTCATTACATTACACTGCACATACATGTAAGCTTGAATTTTGTTCCTATCTTTCATTACATTACACTACACATACATGGAAGCTTGAACTTTGTTCCCTATCATTCATTACGCTACACATACATGTAAGCTTGAACTTTTTTCCTTATCTTTCATTACATTACACTACACATACATGTAAGCTTGAACTTTGTTCCCTATCTTTAATTACATTACACTACACATACATGTAAGCTTGAACTTTGTTCCCTATCATTCATTACATTACACTACACATACATGTAAGCTTGAACTTTGTTCCCTATCATTCATTACATTACATTACACATACATGTAAGCTTGAACTTTGTTCCCTATCATTCATTACGCTACACATACATGTAAGCTTGAACTTTGTTCCCTATCTTTAATTACATTACACTACACATACATGTAAGCTTGAACTTTGTTCCCTATCATTCATTACATTACACTACACATACATGTAAGCTTGAACTTTGTTCCCTATCTTTAATTACATTACACTACACATACATGTAAGCTTGAACTTTGTTCCCTATCTTTCATTACACTACACATACGTGTAAGCTTGAACTTTGTTCCCTATCTTTCATTACACTACACATACATGTAAGCTTGAACTTTGTTCCCTATCTTTCATTACACTACACATACATGTAAGCTTGAACTTTGTTCCCTATCTTTCATTACATTACACTACACATACATGTAAACTTGAACTTTGTTCCCTATCATTCATTACACTACACATACATGTAAGCTTGAACTTTGTTCCTTATCATTCATTACATTACATTACACATACATGTAAGCTTGAACTTTGTTCCCAATCGTTCATTACATTACATTACACATACATGTAAGCTTGAACTTTGTTCCCTATCATTCATTACATTACACTACACATACATGTAAGCTTGAATTTTGTTCCCTATCTTTCATTACATTACACTACACATACATGGAAGCTTGAACTTTGTTCCCTATCATTCATTACGCTACACATACATGTAAGCTTGAACTTTTTTTCCATTATCTTTCATTACATTACACTACACATACATGTAAGCTTGAACTTTGTTCCCTATCTTTAATTACATTACACTACACATACATGTAAGCTTGAACTTTGTTCCCTATCATTCATTACATTACACTACACATACATGTAAGCTTGAACTTTGTTCCCTATCATTCATTACATTACATTACACATACATGTAAGCTTGAACTTTGTTCCCTATCATTCATTACGCTACACATACATGTAAGCTTGAACTTTGTTCCCTATCTTTAATTACATTACACTACACATACATGTAAGCTTGAACTTTGTTCCCTATCATTCATTACATTACACTACACATACATGTAAGCTTGAACTTTGTTCCCTATCATTCATTACATTACATTACACATACATGTAAGCTTGAACTTTGTTCCCTATCATTCATTACATTGTAATGTAATGTCTTAACTGTTTCTGAACACTGGTTGATGAATAGAACTCAGAGATTTTTCGAGACCCTTGGCTCGTCTTATGACACAGCGGTCAATATTAAAGAAGATCAGAAGGGTCACAGAGGCGAGGGCGGAGTTGCTATCTTAGTGAAGAAAGACTCGTTCAGTGATATACGCACCTATGTCCCTGAATATGACTCAGTCGTTGCTGTACGATTATCTAGGCCCAACCTAGTAGACATATCTGTTGTATGTACACATCTCCCTTCTACTAATAGCACTGTGTCTACCTATCAAGAGCGGCTAAAGGAAACATTTGACATTGTCGATGAACTCTCTGAAACTAGTCACACTATCTTGTGTGTGGCGACTTTAACACAGACATTATCAATAATCAAACCTCACATAGATCACGCTTACTTCAACGGTATCTCTCTGTGCGGAATATGGTACCTTCCTATAGCAGCGGCAAAGTAGTGGGACAAATGATAACATGGAGAAACAAAAGTTACACTCAATCCTCCATAATTGACTATATATTTGTACCCAAACACCTAGAACACGCGGGTCATCAACTCACATATTTATGACTCAACCCCTTTCCATGTATCTGATCATTTCCTGTCGTTGTATCCCTTCATCTCGACAGCCTCACTAGAACTACATGTAAAGCTGGTATGCCATCTACTCCACACAAATGGTCAAAAGCTAGTCAGCAACAACTTGGTATGTTCGAAGCCGAGGGTACACAGATTGCTAGGTGACATAACGCCAGTCACTGGGGCTTTAGGAGCAAATATGATAGAGAGTTACTTTGACAACATTGTTGGTGCACTAAAGAAGATCTGCTGATGAGCACATACCACGTGGACACTATAGGCGTACCTGAAACCTTACTGGAAGCGGTCGAATCTCGATCTCTATCACTACAGGATGTGCCAAAGCAAAGAGAAATTGGTCAGCTGAAGGCAGATCCCGAGGTACCGGGAGCGACTTCGTACACCCTATACAAACAGGCTAAATGTGACTTTTCGGCGTTGTAAAGACAAGCTGAGAGACAGTGGAATGAAGAAAAGTGTATGTGGAAATAAACTCAGCATGTGAAGTAGATATTGCTGAATTCTACAGGATTGTAAAGAAACAAAGGAAAACTAAGACTGTTAGCACACACCTGAAATATAAGGGCGTTCCTGCAATACACCAGCTGAAGTGTGCAACTTGTGGGCAGACTACTATGCAGATCTATTATCACCTCTTGAGCGGCCGGAGTTTGATAGCGACTTTCGCAATCAGACAGACTCTAGAGTAGACCAGGTCTCAAGAATACCACCACACGATGATGACCCTATACTCAAAAGCGGACATTGAAATCAGTGAACTAAAGCGATTGAAACAATGCCTAAAATGAGAAAATCACCTGGACGGACCAAATCACAAATGAACACATTTATTTAAGCTGGCGATGTGCTCCTCAAACATTTAGCGAAGTTGTTTAACATGATGACACATACCTGCTATACCCCTGCATTGCTAAGATCTGGAACAATTATACCAATATATAAAGGAAACAATAAGGACTGATCGGACCCTGCCAATTACAGAGGTATAACCCTCACCTCCGTCATCGGGAAACTGTTTGAGAAGATCCTGTTAGAAAGAATTCAGAGGTATGTTAAATATATGGAACCTGACTTCCCCCATAGACTACAGTGTGGATTCCGACCAGAGCATGGTGCAAACGTAGGTACCTATATATTCAAAGAAGTGATATCATTTTATACGGAAAGATCCTCCAATGTATACACTGTGTTTCTCGACAATGAGAAAGCGTTCGATCGCATCTGGCACAACCGTCTACTACTAAAACTATTTAACCTAGGTGTGCAAGGAAAAGCCTGGCATATAATACGACAGTCGTACCCGCGAATCAACCCGGATGTGTCAGATATGATGACAAGACAAGTCGGACGTTCAAAATCAGACAAGGCGTGGGACAAAGGCGTGTGCTATCGGCGTGGATGTTCCCTTGTGTATATAAAGCGAGCTAATATGTCGCCTTGATCAGCTGAGACAAGGCCTTATCCTTGGAGGTGATCACTATCCAGTAGTCCTACTTTCGCGGATGACACGACACCTTTCGTAAAGCCCGACAAATAGTGGCCTGCGTATGTCTTTAGAAACTGTCCATCAATATGCTTGCCAATGGAGGCTGACATATAATGCAAGCAAAAGCTGTGTATTAATATTTAAAGGTGGAAACAAAATTGACCAGTCATCACCTTTCAGCCTGGGCAACCACATACTGTCCATTAAAGTCGAACACAATATCGCGGGTTCCTTTATAAATTCTCATTTGGAATCGAAGAAGTCACGAGGCGTGTGCTAAAGGCGAGACAAACCTTGAACTCACTTAGAGATATTGGACTTAAAGCTGGTGGTCTAAACCCAGTCTGTTGTGTTAACATTTGGCGAAGAGTAATAATTCCTTGTGCCTTCTACGCGAGTGAGCTGTGGTCAAATATGTCACGCACAGAAATAAATACCATTGAAAATACCCAAGCGCTACTTTGCGCGAACTGTGCAAAATTTTCATCAAAGATCTCTGACCGCTGCAACTATTCAAACTCTAGGACTGTGGACTATGACAGCTACTATCGACAAAATGAAGCTGATGTTCCTTGGAAGGCTGTGCCGAAGCAACCACAGATATGCCTTTAAAAGATATTCTATTTCAAGTGTGCTCAGTATATAGCAGCCGGCTACAAATGTGAGTCTGTAACACCACGATCTTCTCAATGTAGCCAAGAAATATGAATTATGGAATGCAATTGATCTCTTTATGAAAACTAACCAGTTTCCATCCAAGGAGGCGTGGAACAAAACTATACGGGCCAAGATAACAGAGCATGAAACTGCTCATTGGCATACATGCCTGCAAGGTAAGCCCTGAATTGGACAGATTCTATAGAATCCACAGTAAACTGGTTCCGCGTAGACTTTGGAATATGTGTATACTATACAATATCCCAACCAGACCTGTGTATGCACTTGTGAAACTAGGAATGCTACCAATAACACCTGGTCAGTGTCTAATGTGTAATGAAGAGTGCAATGATATAATAAAACACCAACTGGTATATTGTACAGCTTTAGCTGATGCAAGAAACATTCTTTATGAGCATCTGTTTGACACATTAAGCCTGGAACAGTACATGTGTATCGAAGACTGTGCAGATGACGAAGTCAGAATTGTGACATTCCTAGGTGGAATAACCTCTATTATAGAGAATATGAGCCTTGACACCTGGGCTGAATTCATAGGTTCTGTATCACGTGACATTAGCTCCTGGAGCCTGCGATCACTGCTTTATCTATAGACAGCGATCTATAGACAATGACTTAATTCTCACCAGAATCATGTAAATATGTGGCTTTGTGAAACTTCATGTTTTCTCTTTATCATATTTCTGTAAGTATGTTGTGTTTAAAGAACATCCAACGTTTGTCACTCTCCGAAGCTACTGGAGGAAATAAAGATCATTCATTCATTCATTCATTCATTCATTCATGTAAGCTTGAACTTTGTTCCCTATCTTTCATTACACTACACATACGTGTAAGCTTGAACTTTGTTCCCTATCTTTCATTACACTACACATACATGTAAGCTTGAACTTTGTTCCCTATCTTTCATTACACTACACATACATGTAAGCTTGAACTTTGTTCCCTATCTTTCATTACACTTCACTTACATGTAAGCTTGAACTTTGTTCCCTATCATTCATTACATTACATTACACATACATGTAAGCTTGAACTTTGTTCCCTATCATTCATTACATTACACTACACATACATGTAAGCTTGAACTTTGTTCCCTATCTTTCATTACACTACACATACATGTAAGCTTGAACTTTGTTCCCTATCATTCATTACATTACATTACACATACATGTAAGCTTGAACTTTTATCCCTATCTTTCATTACATTACACTACACATACATGTAAGCTTGAACTTTGTTCCCTATCATTCATTACATTACATTACACATACATGTAAGCTTGAACTTTGTTCCCTATCATTCATTACATTACACTACACATACATGTAAGCTTGAACTTTGTTCCCTATCATTCATTACATTACATTACACATACATGTAAGCTTGAACTTTGTTCCCTATCATTCATTACACTACACATACATGTAAGCTTGAACTTTGTTCCCTATCTTTCATTACACTACACATACATGTAAGCTTGAACTTTGTTCCCTATCTTTCATTACACTACACATACATGTAAGCTTGAACTTTGTTCCCTATCTTTCATTACACTACACATACATGTAAGCTTGAACTTTGTTCCCTATCATTCATTACACTACACATACATGTAAGCTTGAACTTTGTTCCCTATCATTCATTACATTACACTACACATACATGTAAGCTTGAACTTTGTCCATTCCACCTGTCTCTATCACACTGTGGCAGATTGTGTCATAGTTTTTCCTATGTTGTGATACATTACTTATGCCATCGGTTACTAGCTGGCTCGTCCAAGACTTGATATTTGGCATACTACAAATATAACGAAAGAGAAAACAATGCACGCATCATCTCTGTCTGTAGATCTATGTCTGGCTGGACGCTCTCATCAACTATCTGACGGTTGCTGGTTACCCCGACAACCTTACAACATGGCCACCTACATCACAGATCATTGGCAAGGACATTTTAAAGTAAGTGAGTCTTACATCTTTGTCATAAGAGGCGACAAGTGAGATTACTCATTCTTAAAAATTATCTGGATTCCTGATCTTGTCATTTGTTTACAACTTTCTCTGGTAGGTTTCATGCAGTCTACTGGCCCGCGTTCCTGATGGCTGCAGACCTGCCGCCTCTGACACGCCTGCTGTGTCACTCTCATTGGCTGGTAGAAGGGAGAAAGGTAGGTACATGGTTGACTATAGCTATTCTTGAATACCACAGATTTCCTATTGTCCACACTCCTACAGGTCCCCCTGTCCACATTCCTACAGGTCCCACTGTCCACACTCCTACAGGTCCCCCTGTCCACATTCCTACATGTCCCACTGTCTACATTCCTACAGGTGCCACTGTCCACATTTCTACAGGTCCCCCTGTCTACATTCCTACAGGTCCCCCTGTCCACATTCCTACATGTCCCACTGTCCACATTCCTACAGGTGCCAATGTCCACATTCCTACCGGTCCCCCTGTCTATATTCCTACAGGTCCCCCTGTCCACATTCCTACAGGTCCCACTGTTCACATTCCTACAGGTCCCACTTTCCACACTCCTACAGGTCCCCCTGTCCACATTCCTACATGTCCCACTGTCTATGTTTCTGCAGGTCCCTCTGTCTACATTCCTACAGGTCCAATGGTCTACGTTTCTACAGATCCCACTGTCTATGTTTCTACAGGTTCCCCTGTCCACATTCCTACAGGTCCCACTGTCCACACACCTACAGGTCCCACTGTCTATGTTTCTACAGGTCCCCCTGTCCACATTCCTGCAGGTCCCACTGTCCACACACCTACTGGTCCCACTGTCCACACTCCTTCAGGTCCCACTGTCCACATTCCTACAGGTCCAGTGGTCTACGTTCCTACAGGTCCCACTGTCCACACTCCTACAGGTCCCACTGTCCACATTCCTACAGGTCCCCCTGTCTACATTCCTTCTCCGATAGATCTTACTGTCAACTCTCCTAGAACTGACCACACTCCTGGAGGTCCAACTGTCCATATGCCTAGAGATCCCAGCCATTCAGCCTGCTAGACATACTAATGTACACTCACAGAGTTGTTATTGTCCATACCACAGGAGATCCCAATGTCCATATTAATTGTGTTTCATACATCCATACTCCTTGAAATTCCACTGTCCACATACGCGAGATCACGTGCACATTCCAAGAAATCCCACCGTCTCTGCTCCTAGAAATGCTTATGTAAACATTCCAAGACATTCCTCTTTCTGCTTTCTTGGAGATCGGACTGCCCATGGTACTAGATCTACCACTGTACATGCTCCCAGAGTTCCCACTGCCCACGTTCCTCAAGAGGTGTTTTGGCTTTCCATTCTCAGTTTGTATACACCAGGTATATACCAAGTCTAGCCGAGTACCTAGACAGTATGTTTTGGTATATACTTGTGACCATAAACAAATTGTTTCATGAATTGTGGGACTGCAGGTGGGTGAAGGAAGGGGCTGACCTTGTACTGCTGGTCAGTGGGGGTTCAGTGCTGGTCGGTGGTGGTCAGTGCTGGTCGGTGTTGGTCAGTGCTGGTCGGTGTTGGTCAGTGCTGGTCAGTGCGGGTGCTGGTAGGTGCTGGTCTGTGTTGGTCTGTGTTGGTCAGTGTGGGTCAGTGTTGGTCGGTGCTGGTAGGTGCTGGTCAGTGCTGGTCGGTGCTGGTCGGTGCTGACCATGTGCTATGCTTTTCATTGTTAGCACTATGTACATACCTGGTGTGGAGTTTGGTGATATATATGGACACATTTTTATGGTTGTTATGTGTGTTTTTGCCCCACAGATGTCCAAGAGCCTGGGAAATGTGGTGGACCCCAGTGACTGCATGGAGCGATACAGCGTGGATGGACTAAGATACTTCCTGTTGAAAGAAGGGACCCCACATTCAGATGGAAGTATGTCCTAATGTGTACACTGATACACTATACACGTTTTACACTGCTCACAGGTTTGAGATGTTTTTTACTAAGTGGTTGTAGAGATACAGTGATCTTATAATCAGTATGATAGTGTATGCAAGTAGCGATCACCGTAGTGTAAAGATCACTTGGTCGTAAGAAGCAACCAACAGGATTGGGTTGCAAGGCTGGCTGACTTGATTAACACATATCTTTGTATCCCAATAGCATAGGTCAATCTTCGTGATGTAGATCACTTGATTGTATGGTCCAGAATGATTATTTACAGACCACTGCCATATAGCTGGAACATTGCTGAGTGTGTCATTAAAGCAAACTAAACACTTTGTGGGACAGGCCATTCATGATACATCTCAAAGTTTGCTGACAGTTGCATAAAACAGCATCAGCTCACTCAGTCACAGCATTCACATTACAGCCGAGCACCATTGTGTCGAACTCTGATGACTTGATATCTTGATAGTCTCGATATAACATCTCGGTCTCGGCCAAATTCTTCATAATTTATCATCATTCAAGCTCTTTTTACTCGATACGGATATTTCGGATATCTTGATAAAGGTCCATGGTCCCAACAAGCAAAATTCCCCTTTTCACTCGATATTTGCAAAGAAACTCGATATTCACCTACCTGTCATAGGCAAGTATCCCTCTGAACTGAGGTTGTTTCCATACTTTTACACATGCATGAATCAAAGGGATGCGTAGTGTAAACCAATTAGTGCTAATTGAGTTGAAGGTTTCGCTTGTTTGTTATTTAATTAGGATTAATTAAGAAGGAATTAATTAGGAAGTACTCACTGTTATGACTAAACACTACTGATAACGAATTATAGATTCTAATCAAAACATACTGAGAAGCATTTTGTTTTCTTTCATAGTGATATGTGATGATATGCCCTGGTCGGATGTCTTGACGTTCGGATAACTCGATATTTTTTCTTGGTCCCATGAATATTGAGACAACTGTGCTCAACTGTAGTTCCTCCATAAATAACTTCCCAGATTACACTGACCGGAAAGTGATGGAGACAATCAACAGCGGCCTTGTCAACACCCTAGGCAACCTACTCCATCGGTGTACATCGTCCAGCATCAACGGCGCCCAGGTCTTCCCTCCACTGAATCCCCAGGCTTTGGACACCTGCTTCTCTGCCGAGGAACTTCACACGTACCACACACTGAAGACACTGCCAGGTAGTATGGACATGTCTGGATTTCTTCTGGGTATGGTCATCCTGAAAATACAGACTCGAAAAAATGTACTTGAAGTGGTCTCTTTGAATGTATTACCAATGAAGTGAAACAAAAAACAGAAAAAAATGTATGCCAGGTGTTTGTTTGTTTAGATGTCACCCACATAGGTTCAAGATGTGAACCTATTTCTGGTGTCCCCTTTGTGTGTGTGTACTTCCCCAACAGTGGAATTTGTATTATATATACCGACACAAAATCACGGGAACTAAGAATTTGAATGAACGTTGAGGTGGATGTGTGAAATACCGTTTGTACAAACAATCACAATGGAACAAGTGATGCAGGTGCACACAGAAGCTAAACTGTGATCAACCTTTTGGAGAACTCACAATCCCTAATGCAAGTGAGTTGAACACACACTGAAAAATACCTCTGAGGCAGTATCTCAATGAACAGACAAAATGGAGAATTGTGGGTATGATAAAGGGGTGGAACACCACTGTGCCAAGCTGCCCGAATGTTGGGTAAATCAAAAAGTGTAATTTCTCGCCTGTCGGGCAAGTACCGTCAAGCGGGTGGGGTTGCAATTAGACCCAGGCGTGGTAGACTACAATCAACGACACCATGACAGGATTGTCTCATTACATTAATGGCCCAACGCAATAGGTACAAATCAGCGCCTGCTATCAATAGGGAATTTAGTACAATAACTGGACGATGAATTTCAGTATCAACCGTTAAGAACCGACTCTATCAACCCTGTCTGAAAGCAAGGCGGCCTGTGAAGGGTGTCACCCTCACAGCTCACCATAGGCACCAAAGACTGGTGTGGGCTAGGCAGCATCAGGGACGGGCTTTGCGCCATTGGGGTAACACCATGTTCTCGGATGTTTGCGCAGTAGATGTGAGTGGTATGCCAGAGCGGCAATCATTGATCATTATCAGTATGGGGTGTTAGTGTCATGGTGTGGGGCGGTATTACACATCACAGGATCTGGTCATCATTAATGGACAATTGACTAGTCAACAATATATTGACGAAATTTTGCATCCTGTCGTGGCTCCATTGGCTAGAATTATCGGCAGGAATTTTGAATTCCAAGATGATAATGCCAGACCACATCGTGCCCAAGTCGTCACCACTTGTCTCCTACAAGAGGGCATACAGACATTGGACTGGCCCTCTAAGCCCCCGGACATGTCCCCAACTGAGCATCTGTGGGACGTTCTCGGCCGGAAGGTGTACGCCAGGGATCCCGCACCCGTCAACCTGGCCCAGCTTGGGGTAGCTCTTGAGGCGGGAAATTTTGGTGAAAGTTTACAGCCAATACATAACCTTGATGGACTGTTGAGTATCATTAGTTACACTGCTATACCGAGTCTAACAAAATGTAGTAGAAGGTCGCGTCAGCTAACCTTTGAGCAACCTATGACCGTCCACTCAAACGCGAGACGGACGAACGGATTTAACCAATCAGATAACAACTACTTGTTAGGGTTTGGCGGGACTTGCAAAACAGTTTTTGAATTTTCTCTTCCATTGTCACTGACACTGATCTATCAACAAAAGAAAATCCGCATAAGACACAGATATTTGACCTGCAGTATATACGCTTATGGGTTTCTAATGACATGGTTACTATTTGCTTATATTTTCACAAGATGACATCCTTGAATATTGACAAAAAACGCTATTTTCAGCGACTGTTTACTCATTGCATGTATTATTCGGAAGTGATTGTGCGGAAAATAGCATTTTGAATTGTTCAAGTTCTTGAGGTAAAGGTTCAAACGGTATGTGCGAATGTTAACTTTCGCGATTTGGTAAGCTGTGTTCTCATTGGTCAGTCCAAAAGGTTAGCTGACGCGACCTTCTGTTAGGTTTTTTTAGACTCAGTATAGCCGTGTAACAAATAATACTGAGTCTAAGTTTACTTAGGCTGGCGGGAAATACCACGAGCAACCATCCGGAGGTTAATCAACAGTATGCCATCAAGGTGTCATGTATGTGTCACCCAACATGGTGGACACACCAGATATTAAACTTCACACCCGAAATTGATTTTGTTGACATTTAGAGCAATTACACATTCAATGTCATTTCATCAGTTTTACTTTGTTTTTGTCTGCAGTATATAATTATGTGTGTGTGTTATATTTATTAAAATTCTTATTAGTTTAAGGGATTTTCAGTGATTTGATTCTTTTATTTGCTGATCAGATAACCTGTCCAATTTTCAACAAACTTAAAAAAAATGTGTTTTACAAAATATATATTTCACCTTTTGACGTCAATTTTTGATGATATATAAATATATTTGTTTCCTGTTTTCAGATTCGTTGGATGAACATTACCAGAATCTGACGATATACAAAGCTCTCGACGAGCTGATCTCTGTTCTCCATCAGACAAATGCAATGTTTGATCATCACAAGCCATGGCAACTGACCAAACAGCCGGACCAATTAGAACATCTCAACACCGTTTTGCATGTTGCTATGGAAACACTGAGGACTTGTGGGATACTTATGCAGCCTGTGATCCCTAATATGGCCGACCAACTTTTGACCAAACTTGGTATTCGTGCTGATAGAAGGACAGTTGATTGTATTTATGAGGACTTTGTCAAAGATGAACCAGTAAATCTTGGAACAGACACATCTGTGTTGCTGAAAAGAGTAAAGTGATGCAGGAAGTAGTCGTTAGTGTAGGGCACCCTATTTCACAAAACAGTCTTGATTATCCAAAGTCCTTGTTTGTGTGTCAATATTAGGATCATCAAAACAGATTGCTTTGTGCACATGGACCAAGGACTTACTTTGTACAGACTTTGAAGTGTGATTTGAATTAAAGTGTATGCATAATAGATTTGCTGTCTTTGTAACCTCACATGTTCCGCAGACAGAGAATATCTCTCAAGTGTATTTGATAACAATGATATCAACACACAATCAGCATTTGTTTAACACTACCACGGCCTGTGAGGAGCTGTCAACTTATATTCATGTTCCTGATATCAAATGACATTGGTGTGAAAGCATACTGCTGGACAGTGGTCAGTCTTTCTGTCACGCTCCTGTGGTCAAGTCTGGGGCACACAGTGACCACAAACTTGTCTCTATGTGATGTCCTAAGCTTGATGGCCTGTGACGATCAGGGATATAGAGCTGGTCTTCAGCCCATGTTAGTTGAGAGAGGCGACTAATGTGATAGGGGCTCAGGTTCTCTGACTTGGTTCATTTATGTCAGAGTATTCCAAGTGTGATCATCAAAATATTAATCTCTGCTGAAGTTCCAACCCCAAGAGGGAAGTGAGAGTCCAAGGGCCGCCCTCCCCATCCAGGTCCTGAATCACCTCTGAACACATAAGTTTGAACTCCCTTCACAATGTATTCAGACCTATTTGTGTGATTTGTAATGATTTTTTATTTATATTTTTCATATGAGCCAAGTTTGGCTTGAGATTTATCAGTTTTGTCATGAGAGGGTGACATGAGAAATATATGCCTGAGTCTCCGGCCAAATACGTGAGAGTATACAGGTATGCCACTGGATTGTCTGGTCCAGATTCGATTATTTACAGACCCTCTCATACAGCTGCAATATAGTTGAGTGGGGTGTTAAACAACCAAACAAATGTAAAGGTCGGGCTATCTCAGTGTTGTCATAATTCACAATTGTTGTGGACAGGTGTCATCTACCATATACATGTTGCTATGATAATTTTCTCAGGCCAGAATCTTGATATGCAATAAACTCATTGCAAAAACATAACTATTCACCATAGCCCGTCTAATGAACATACCACTGGTTTGACTGCCAATCAGAATGCCATAACAAGCACAAAACCTCAACAACAATAGCAGATAGCAAATCAGCCCTCTCAGACCACCAACAAAAGTTCCCCATCTACAATTACATGTATTCAGTTTGACAAAGTTGAAAGAAAGAAAGAAATTCACAACCAACCACCAGTATCCACAGATTATTGTGATCCATTAAAATAAAAATATCAAACATTTTTGTGTTACACCATTCCTGTTTGCGCATGAGGTTTCAGCAATCCCTGGTGATTTCTCAAAACAATGTTTTTACTCAAATTTCAAACTGAGTTGAGATCCAACAATTTGAAACAGCTTAATTTTTAACTCAACTGCATTTTTAAAATATAAAAGCCAAAACAACTTAAGTAATCTATCCACCCAACTCAAATTGTCTATTATGTTTGAGTTTAATATCGGTTTCAGTTCTTTTACATTTTCTTGCGTTTCCTCAAATTTAAGTATAACTCTAACTTAAATCAAAAGTCGGACTTAAAGGTCACATGCAACGTAAAACACAACTTTGCAGATTCTGATACCTTTCGGTATGGACATACCGAAACAAATAGTCAAAAATGCAAATTCAACTTATAAAGTTGAAAAATAACGCGATGAAAAAAACCGCGCAAAATCGGAGTTCAAACGTTTCACTAATTTTCCCCAGAGATTTCTGGGGAAACGGGTTTCAACAGCTGGGCTCGCCCATATAGCGTCTTAAGTAAATAGGTTCGCAGCTTGGAAGCGGGTTGTCGGGTGAATACCGGTGAAGGCCTTGGTGTGAGCTATTTTTCTAATGTTTTGTTGATATCTCACAGGCGCGAACTTTTTATATGTTATGACAGTAAATTAACTGTTTATATAATTTCATTTGTCTATTACACCACACGTTCTTCTTACCAAGACGCTTTCTCAGTTCGATACTTAAAAGCAATGTCATTATTTAGCGTTGACTCAGTTTCTAACTGTGATATAGATATGTCGTTGTCACAGACAAAACTCAATGTATTGTTTTATTGACACCTATGTGTCTGCCTGCCTGTCTGCTAATGACAATATTCAATACACAACTGCAATCACTGACCACATGCAATTTGAACTTAACACCAATCAGGCTATACACCATAAACAAAACACATTGATTTATGGCCCGAGTTCGGTCTCTGTCACATTATGTAATTACACAGACAGGCAGGTGTGATACTTGAACACATGACATGTTATGATGTCTGTTGATTGCAAAATGTTATACACAAAAAATGAGCATGTATTTACAAAACCCATCATCTCTATATACACACACAATATGAGGCCTGAAGGCGGCATCTGCTAATGAACCAGCCGTTACACTTGAGTGCACACCCACCCGCTCTGACTGGGTTCGGTATCCCGGCTGCTTCGTTTCGAGGGAGGTAAACCCAAGTACAAAATATTGCACTTTTGATTTGCGATTATACGCTTATAATTTTGTTTATTTGTTTTTTCATAATCAGCTATGCATATTATATGTCATGAAGAAGTGATAATTGTGTTTTAATTATGTTTGATTTTTTGGTTGCATGTGACCTTTAAGTTTGCTTCAAGAAATTGGAGCCTCATGATTGACTGCTTTCTTTTTCTTACACTTACAAAAAGTTAGTTTTATGAGCCCTTGATGGACAAACTGACATCATGTGCAGTTTCCATTGACAAAAACACTTGGGTGAATGTCAAGATCTGCTGTTCATCTTCAGTTCCGATGTGATGAATTAACACCTGGACAGCCAGGTGTTCGAGAAGCACGTTCACAGACAAAGTTATTTATTCATTAACCTGTGTTGTGCCGTCTCCGTCCGTTCTCGAACACCTGGCTGTTCCTTTCTCTGCATTCCTCCCTCGTAACATATAGTGAACTGTGTCAATATTTTAATGATAGATTGTTAAACATCTTTTTTATTTTTAAGACAAAAATTCTGCAAAAAACTCACAGAGTGGGCATGATGTTTTGATTATGATCAGCGTTTCATTGAGTATTTTATGTTTATTAGTTTTTGAGGTAGATTTCAATTCATCGGTCTGCTTTTGAGTTTATGGTCGGAGGCTGTGTAGACGAGCAGGCTTGGTTCCCATGGAGGCCACAACTCGTCAGTTGCTGGCCACAAGCTTGTGATGATTATGGCAAATAGAGCACCAACAAACTGAACAGTTAAGACTTAATGCAATTTGTGCTGATTTGACAAACTGACCACATAAGACTTGAAGTCTGTCTTCCACATGCACTAGGCTGTTGTGTTTTTGCGTTTGAATCAAACATGGTGCTGGTGTGTGTCAGCACCCTTGTTTTTCGCTGCTTTTAACATTGTTTCATTTCACTCAAACTCAATCAGTTGCTTCACTGCATGTTCCAATATGTCGTTGACAGTGCCCATTAAGCACACAAAAAGTTACATTTACCTCAATGACCTCACCACGTTTAAGTTTATATATGACTATCAAATTTTAGGGTGTTCCCATACTTTTTGTTTGTAGTATATTAGTAAAAGTTATAGTTGAAAAGGAAGAGAAAATATCACCTTCTCATGCACAATTAGGGGCGTCAGTAATACCCATGCCAAAGCAACTGGCAACGGAAATAGGTTTGGACCTTCAATGCACGACATCTCTCCGTGATTCAGATTTTTATTAAGAAGGAGCGGTAGGCAGCCTGGCGGTTAAAGCGTTCGCTGGTCACACCGAACTCCCTGCTTTGATTCCCCACATGGGTACAATGTGTGAAGCCCAGTTCTGGTGTCCCCCGCCGTGACATTGCTTGATTACTGATAAAAGGCTGTGTAAACTAAATTCATTCACTCAGGAATGTCTTGAAACATTTAGAGAGACCTTGTTCTCGTAAGCATCGTTCGGCTATACTGAATAAGTATTTCTGCAAATTGTACAGATTGTGATCAACTTGACAATGTCGTTCCTACTTTAAATCACTACGGTTTTAGGTAGTATATTTTGATTGTGTTATTATAAAGCCACAAGGAGAGATATCTTCAGGGGATTCTAGTCTAGTGAGTGAGAGAGTTAATATTTATCGTAACATCGGCGATATTTCAGCCAAGTCGTGACGAGAACAATTAATTATTACATTAAAGCTAATAAAATTTGATATACATATACACACATACAAACTCACTTACCACGAAAACGACATCCAAATATCAGAACACAGAACAGTGTACTATCATTCTAGCAATCAGACCTTTGTACAGTGTAAATGACAGAAAGTCACTTTTCTTTATTTAGCGGTATGGCTTGGTTTGGACGGGTGTAAACTGCAGATGGATGGCATGAGGCAGGAAAACCATGAAGTGTGGCGTGAAATTAAAAGTGCGCATCACTGTGAGGGAAGATGATGTACGGCTGTTGAAGATGCATTGATTCTGCCACGAGTGAATTTCTAAGTGACATGTTTACATATGCATGTGTGATATATGTATTTATGAAAGTATAATGTATAAAAGATCACTTAAAGCCAAATCGTTTGATAGTTAAGACCGTGTTTTTTACAGAATCTCACAATTATTGACTTTTGATATTGACATACAGTGTTCCCAGTGTGGAGAGGCGCTGTCATACCCTGGCTCAGGTTTATGAAATATTATATTAAGCTTGTTTAACATAAGCTATCCACGATACCTCACAGTGATAATTCATCGTTGCTTGTCCCATCTACACTACCAGGGGACCTTAGATCGACACTATCATCATCCAGATCATCGGTACATATCCCCTCGACTGTCTCAGTTTGTTTGGAGCCAGGCCGGCGTTCAACCAGCCAATTGTTCCCCCACAGTTCATGGAGTGAGTGAGTTATTATTTAACGTCACATCGGCAATATTTCAGCCATATCGTGACGAGAACACTTGACATTGAAATAGAATATATATAGAGATTATAAAACCTGCCGAAAAAGGACAGTAAAGCCACAGTTCATTGAACCGGACGGAGCTGGCTACAATAGCGTCGCCGGGGGACGTTCATCATGAATCAACACTTCAGGTTTCGTCACCTAATAGCCGAT